TGGAAACCTAAGCTCTATTCCCAGCCATTTGCCCTCGAGCCACACTTTCTGCCTTTTTCACTTTTCTAAAACAGGGATGATAATCACCCCCTCCCTCAAGATTGTGTGAGAACCTAATGAGAGAAGAGCTTCAAAAGTGCTCCAAAGATGCACACAGGGTATTTAGGAATGCAATGTCTCCATGGCTGTAATTTACTTGAAAGTATTTCGGCCAAGAAACATAGATAAAGCCAATAGGGCAACATACTAACAATTGTTAAATCTAGGCAATGGGTATATAATGTAGATAGGTATATAGACACTGCTAGCCTCTCCACTTTTCTGCATACTTGAACATTTTCATAATAAACATTCCATCATTTTATAAAAGTGCTCTGGCAAGGTAAATGGAAGGGATGGTGCTACTCACGGAAAAGATGCCCTCAGAGAGGTCCCAGTCCTGGGCTCTGAGGCCAGGTGGGGCCCACCACCCTAGCAGATATAGCAGTCCACTCTTCACCAGCCTTGGGCACCCAGAGCCATGATCAGGAAGTGATTTTGGTTTCCCTGCTTCCTCCCCAGGCAGCCTGGTGCCTGCTGCTGGGTGAGGGAAGGCTCCTGCCCCTTCACAGTACAAGGCACCATCTGACAGACCAGACCTGCTGCAGACACTGGCACTGGGGACAGTGGGGGCTGCCTAGCATAGCCAACCAGAGTGGGGGGCTTATGAATATGCAGATAGAGGCTGGAGCTGGTTGGCTGCCCCCCCTGCCATGTCCCACCCCTTCCCCAACTCAGATGCCCAGAAAAGCCAGCTCAGAGAGGACCTTCCTGAAATGACATCTCTTGTCTCCTTGCCTGAAGACCCACTGGGCCCCTTGAAAATTTTGGGACTGAATTACCTAGCTTTTCCTATTGCACTGGCCTCAAGCAGGGAGCTGCTGACCTCTGCTCCCAAATTCCCCAGCAAGGCAGCTCCAAAGTGAACATCTTTCACCCTATATCCTCCTGAGGATACTGAAACCAGCCTAGCACCAAAATATGGCGTCTCAGCTGTGCAGGAAGGAGAGGCTATGTGGCTTCTCCCTCCAGCAGAAGTCTAAATACTATTGGCGGGGGTGGGGTAGGGGGGGCTGTTTGCTAGACCAAAAGCCCCCATATCTGGCAGAGTTCGGGAGAACTCACTGGCCAAATCATCTACCCCCAAACATCACTTGAATTTTGCCATCTTCTCCTCCTTTTGTTTGGGAAGTGGAATGAATATTGTGAAATACAGCAATGAAAATCAATGAACTACAGCTTAACTCAACATGGATAAATCCTTAAAACATAATGTTGAATGAAATAAGACGGTTACAGAATGATACCGACACTGTGATTCCACTTATGTTTAATAATAGGCCAAACAGGGCCGTCCAAGTGGCGCATTGGTTAAG